TGGATGACTGGAAAATAACACCCAAATAACAATATTCAGACACGCAAGGCACCGAATGGCCTTGCAATGTGAAATGATGGTCGCGAGACCGTGAGCCAACCACAAGCACAGCCCAATACCAAAGGAAAACCTGCATTGACGACCCCAGGCACCAATCTCGTCCAAAGCTCGCTGGAGGTCTCTACGATTCTCAGCCAAAATGACCAAATCGTCGGCGTAGAGTAATAACGTCACCCTTGGAGCAGACGGCCCACTTCCCAAGGACACACCGGGGCAGGCTGAGCGAACACACCCAGAGATGCTGTCAAAGAGAATCGTGAACAGCAGAGGGCCCAAAACACTGCCTTGACGAACTCCAGCACTTTCAAACCAGGGTTCAGACAAACAGCCATTAATCGATGCCTGAGCCGACGTCTCAGTGAGCAGATCATCCAGGACCTTCCACATGGCACCTGTAATACCCGCTTGTGCCAACTGGACCAGCACGGCATCTCGCCAAGCAACATCAAAAGCTTTGCGCACATCGACAAAAGCGCAGAAAGTTCGCTTTCGTGCTCTTAACCGCAGTGTTTCAGCAAGGGTGTAAATATGCTCAGGAAGTTTGTGCAACTGCACGAACATCAATTACACCATTAACCTACTCACAACTGTCCGACGCAGAGCGTCTGTAGCATCACATTTCACATGCCTCAGCGGCAGAGCACACATTGGCAACAAAGCATTTCCGCGGAGGGAGGTACCGATGTCTCAATCCCGGAAATATTAAATTAAATGTGGAGTCAATTTTTTCTTCCGGACTAATTCGTTTCTCCCCCACACGCCTGTTTACCTCCGCGAGGTACAAGGGTGCCTGTGCCACCTGCGCCGCCGGACGGCCCCACCATACCACAGATTCCCGGCGTGGTCAATGAATAGGTGAACGCTAGCGCGCTGCAGCTCTGGCCCCGCGTCACCGAGGTCAGCGGTGGGAGGCAACGCAAGCAGGGAGGCGGCGAAATTGCGCTGTGCGGTGACCGCGATGAGCCCCGACAGCGCGGCACACAGGCGGTGATTGCGGCAGGACGCAGCAGCCTGGGGACGGCAGCGGCTCGGTGCCGCGCAGAGCACGGAAAAAAACAGATCAGGGGTTAATTGTGTTTGAAGACCCGCCTTCCCGCACCAACAATTTCCTGGTCCAGAGAACTGACGAGGGCGGAGAAAACCCCTCCGCCTCTGAGTTCAGCACGACCACCTTTTACGCTGGACTGGCTGGCGGCGGCTGGTTTGAGCAATGATCTTAACATGATGCTAAACGGTACTGTCGCCCAAACACGGGGGAAGCGAAGGGGGTGGCGACTGCTCATCGCAACCAAGTGCCCTGGTACTGCCCCCGGGTCCACACCCATCCTGCACGCCCCCGACCCGAACGACTGCGAGGCCGGCGGAGGCCGCATTGTGAGGTTGTTTGTGCAGATTCCGCCAACCTGCCGCGAGGTCGCAGCGCACGTGGGGTCGTTGAAGCTGTGGCCCGCCAAGAAGCCGGTGTGAGGGCGGGCATTCATCGAAAGAGCAAAGCTATGGCGCATGGCCCAGATCCGTGTTCTCACCTTGCCGCGCGTGCTTGCCCGGACAAACGACAATACATGCAAGATCATGCAAGCATTGTATTGGTCGGTGGCCGAAGATCGGTACCGCACATCTCGGGGGGGTTGGACACGCGTCACAGCTATACCTCACAAAATAAGAGACAGGACACATCACTCAAACACTTCACTGCACAGCTTTCAAAGCTGCCACCCTCTTGCATGGAGTGGCACCCCGTTGTCTCGCGGGCCGCCTGAGGACTGCCGGCCACGAGCACCCGCACGAAGCTGTGGATGCAACAGAAATCTCGGTCTCCCAACAACACGCACGCACCCTTCAAGCACTCAGTAGCTGCGTCCTGGTACATTATGTGCCGGGTGCAACACACGCCGCAACCGGAACTGGCGCACGAGGGAGACCTCAACTACATGAAACTACCGCTCCGCAAGGAGGTTGTGCGGACGCATTTGCGCGGCGACTCTGTCTGAAGCGCTGCCAACACGCATTCCGCTTCGCCGCGGGCAGCAAGCGTCGATGACGCTTCCATTGTCGTACAAGGAGGGACTGCACCACAGCTCCGGATGAGGCAACACGAGGTTTTACACAGCACCAGTTGACGAGCCGCCGGCTGCACCCGCTGTTGCCCCTTGGCACGCAGTCGGTCCTCCACAAGTAGAACCTGGCACTCACAACTCCTGGGTTTTGTTTGCGCACCTTTTTCCGACCGCTTGTCTTGCATCTCATCTTGCATCTTGCATCTCACTTTAGCCCGCTTCCCCTGGCCGAACCTACCGGATCCTACCTACCGGAGTCGGCTATCTGCGACAACTTCTGTGTCGCGGGCCTGTGCTCGCAGGTCGCCCAGCGGCGGCGCGTCACCATCACACTGCGCTAAGCTTGCAACGCTCGCCTGCGGCAACTGCAAAAGCGACATCGCGTACGCTCGCCGTGCTGCCACTGCCAGCATTCCTGTCCATCTGTGGATGCTGGCCCGATGAACGGCTGGCCGCAGTCGCGCGGGTGCCGTTTGCGCTTTAGCTGCGGCGAAGAGGCACAGGAACGTTACAGTTTCCGCTTCAGTCCGCCCCCCAACCTCAAGCCCGACGACAACCAACTTGCAGCAGCGGGCGGCGAGAAGCTCCGGGTATGTCTCTCACCACTTCCGCCTTGCTGCATCGGCCGCTGCCAAGCCGGGTACTCGCTGTTTTTGCTGGGCGCGCCGTGCCATCCCGCGACACCGGGCTCACGAGCGTGGCGTCAACGGCAACTTGTGCGCCTTGGAACAGGTGAGAGAGCGTTGGTACTTCAATGCGGCGAGCGTTCGCAAGCGGGACATCAATGTTCATATCCCGCAGCATCATGGCCTCAGTTTCACGGCAAACCCGTGCGGCCCCGCAACGGGCCGCTTCGCGGGCCAACACTCCAGTCGTGGTCAGCGAGGGCGTCTAGGTAACCGCCACATCTGCAACGGCGTGGGGCGTGCGGCAGCGGGACACGAAAACGGCGGAGGAGCAGCAACACACGCATAGACGGAGTCACGGGGCAGGCGCTTTCAGGTGCGAAGGGAAGCACGGTGACAGCTCGCGCAACGGGTCACCATGGGTGGGTCTAGTGCAGACGGCGGAGGCTGGCCGGCAAGCAGAGCATCCCACGGTGGCACCTGGAAGCCTTGCGCCGGCAGCGACTCCGCAGAAGGCCGCCACAAGGATTTGCGGATGAAATGCTTCGACAGATGGCGACCTCAATTGTAAGCATACGTGTTGCAATACGCAAATCCGCAGATCTGTTGGCCTAAAACGCTTTGCCCACCGACCACAAACTGCTGCATGGATTGCGTGAATGTGCGTACATGTTGCTCAGATGGCATGCAGCCAAACATCGCTAGCATGAAGCATGGACCACAAAAATACCATCATCCGTATGAACTGTGACTGGCAGCTGCGGCTATGTTCTGCAGATCTTGGTTTACCTCGCGTTCCATCGTAACTCCTGCTGTGTCCTACAGGAAATTACAGGAAGGTAATTTTGGCCATTCTCGTCTGAAACACTCAAACAAATAATATGAGCAAACCGTACATCCAAGTTTTGGCAACCCCAGTTAGACGTGTGTTCGCAGTATTAATTACAAGCTGCAGTACTGCACGGCAAGATGTGGATACAACACGCGGCCGTGATGCACGGCTGCAAAACGCTCGCGTCTGCTACAACATGTTTCGCCCCGGACCCCTCGCCTATCATGTTTGATATAAACATGACAAGAACCAGATCCAGGGAAACACTCCGGTTCTGCAAAAAGTGCCCAAATGGCGAGCAATCCACTTTCTCGACAACTTGAGACCATCAACACTGACCCTCCAAATGTCGTCGCCCTCGTCTTTCAGGCAGGCTGACGCTGCAATTTTGAAACTGTGCCGCTTCTCCGCCTTGGCTCTTGTGACTTGCGACCCGAGTATAGCACCTCCCAGTGGGTTGCTTCGATCGCGTTTTGGTTCGCCAGAGCCCTTCCCCTGCCTTCTTCTCCCGGCGCATGGACATAAGTATGACGCAAGCAATGCTAGGTCAGGGTGCACCTGCCCCCCACATGCAAACAGACGTTAGGGCATGCTGCCTTTGCTGCGCATGTCTTTGATTCAGATCTGGAGTGCAGTGGGAGCGCTGGTGGCGGGTGCGGTGCTGGCCGCCGCAAAGGAGCAGCTCCACCGGCAGGTCCCGTGGCGCACTTGGCAGGTCCACGGTCATTTCGCGGAGCTGGCAACACTTGGTCCCAGCAGTGGACTAAACCTTCGCGACGTTTGTAGCTGCTTTAGCGACTCTGCCGGACGCTTCCTTGCCACTGGCAGCCATCATGTGGTTGAACATGATGGCCGATGGCCGGATGGATGCTCAGCAGGCGCCCACAAGATGCGTTGCTTGATAGCCACGGCGTGCTTCGTGGAAGACGCACGATGTGAGTGGGCGTCCGATGACACCCTTGGCCGGCGAAGCAGGCGAGGGCACAGGACGGTCGAGTGCGCGCGCCACAGTCGATCCAACGCAACTGAGCGCGACAACGACGACCCACTAGTGCCGCCGCCGTCTCGCCTGTCCACTGGCATCCATGCAGGTCGCGGACTGTGCATGACGCAGCTTTGATGCCGTGGGTTTGGCTCGCTTCATGCCTTTTGCTGCGCATTGAATCAACACACAACCCGAACCTCTAGAGAACCAAGCCCTTTGTGATTGTGTTCAAGCCTGACCTGGCTTAGCCCTCTGAGCTGAACCCGCCCTCACCAAAAGCTGGAGAAATTGGAGCTATCCAAAGCCATTGGAGCACGAGCCTGGAACCGAATATGTAAACCTTTGACATTGACCCCCCAGCAACCCTAACCTGCCCCAACATGTTCGAATCAAACCGCTGTCTGGAAATTCGATTCGCGTACCCTCTGCCAACTGTTTTCCTACTCGACAATGACGATTCGCCAGCGACGCTTCTGGCCACCGTCTGTCCTTGGCACAGGCGTCAAAGGGCCCAGGCGTCTTCTGGGGGTCTCTTGCAGCGCTCCACAGCTCTCTCTCTCTCTGAATCTGACTTCGTCTTAATCAATCGAACATGCATCGTCGAGCCGGGCACGTTGCAGCAACTGCGGGAATCTCCGCTACATGCCCGGCAATGGCCTGACATCAACGATACCAACGGTTGGCTGTTTGGTATCGCTGTGCACTGGGCCTGTTTTTCAAATCTGCTTGCACGCAGCATCAGGCCTCGTAGGCAGCCACCACCTTCCTGAACTTCTCCGTTGCCGATGCCTGCGCTCGGATGCTGTATGTGCAAGGGCCGCCAAGGGGTGTGGGCGAGATTCTGAAACAATTCGGCCTTGTCCTTGTCACCACGGTGTTTGTCGGGATGAAACTGCAGGGCCAAACGCCGATAAGCCTCGCTTCTGTTCGAACTCTGGGACGTGGCTTGGACTGGGCTTGTGCTAAGAACCCACTTTTGGACTTGGAACCCCGCCCCTGCCCCTCCCAGGCCACATTGCAGCTTTCAAGCGAGCTTACAACCGAGCTGACATACAGGTTTTCGCTGATTCCGGGCGGGTCACACCGTACTTGAGCTGTACTTACGTACACATGGCTAGCGTACTACGAGTAGACGACTACTGCTACCAGCTACCAGTTGCCACTACTACTACTACTACTACTACTACTACTACTACTGCTACTACTACTACTGCTACTACCACTACTACTACCACTACCCACTACCAGTACCAATACCAGTACCAGTACCAGTACCACTACCAGTACCAGTACCAGTACCACTACCACTACCACTACCACTACCACTACCACTACCACTACCACTACCACTACCACTACCACTACCACTACTACTACTACTACTACTACTACTACTACTACTACTACTTGCTTGTCCTCATCGCAAGGCATCGACTCGGTGCAGCGAGTGCAATGCAATGCAATACTACTACTACGACGACTACTACTACTACTACTACTACTACTACGACAACTACTACTACTACTACTACTACTACTACTACTACTCAGGAGCTTTTGTTTGATAGGCAGCGAACTGAAAAATACGTGGCAGGCGAAGTACTTTCGAGGGTTCGAGCGTTGTGATGGCAGCAGACGATTTCCGCAAAAATTCCGAATTCTTCGTGCGAGTTGGCGTTTGTTGCTGCAGCCGAAACCCCATAATACGTGGCCAGCGCAATACTTTTGAGACTTCGAGGCAGCCAGCAGGGCTCAGGCCGCAGGGCCGTTTCCTGGCCATGTTCTTTTTTGCACAGCGCAATGGAAGCAGACCCAAAACCCAAAACGAGATGTTGGTAGCCAAACCCTAAGCTCTAAAAGGAGATGTCGGCAAGCAAACCTTGAACCCTAAACCCCTAAACCCTAAAACGGGATGTTGATAGCCAAACCCGAAACCCTACAAGGGGATGTTGATAGCCAAACCCGAAACCCTAAAAGGAGATCTTGGTAGCGAAACCCTAAACCCTAAAAAAAGATGTTGGTAGCCAAACCCCAAAACGAGATGTTGGTAAGCAAACCCAAAAACCCTAAAAAGACAGGTCGGTAGCCAAACCCTAAACCCTGAAAGGAGATGCCGGTACGCAAACCCAAACCCCAAAAAAGAGATGTCTGTAGCCAAACCCTAAACCGGAAAAGGACATGTCGGCAGCCAAACCCTGAACCCTAAAAGGAGATGTCGGTAAGCAAACCCAAACCCCAAAAAAGAGATGTCTGTAGCCAAACCCTAAACCCTGAAAGGACATGTCGGTAGCCAAACCCTGAACCCTAAAAGGAGATGTCGGTAAGCAAACCCTAAACCCTAAAAGGAGATGTCGGTAGCCAAACCCAAAACGCTAAAAGGAGATGTTGGTAGCCAAACCCTAAACCCTAAAAGCAGATGTTGGTAGCCAAACCCTAAACCCTAAAAGGAGATGTGGGTAGCCAAACCCTAAACCCTAAAAAGCAAATGTTGGAGAGCAAGCCCAAAACCCTAAAAGCAGATGTCGGTAGCCAAACACTAAACCCTAAAAGGAGATGTTGGTAGCGAAACCCTAAACCCTAAGAGGAGATGTTGGTAGCCAAACCCTAAACCCAGTGTGGACAAGTGTAGGGAGGGCAAACCCCGCACTATGCACGTACTACTGCTACTTCTCCTGCTACTTCTCCTACTACTACTACTACTACTCCTACTACTACTACTACTACTACTACTACTACTACTACTGCTACTGCTACTTCTCCTACGACAACTACTACTACTACTACTACTACTACTACTACTACTACTAAAACTACTACTCCTACTACTACTACTACGACGACGACGACGGCGACGGCGACGACGACGGCTACGGCTACGGCTACGGCTACGGCTACGACTACGACGACGACGACGACGACGACGTGGGGAGACCCTTCAGAGGAAGGCCTTCTTGAGTTGGGAAGGGTCCGCACCAGGCTCCAGCTCCAAAACCTGCAGCAGGCACTCACGGACCTTTCGGGACCACCACTTTCGGTTCTGTGCCGCTCTCGGCCCGCCGGTCCGTCGGCCTTCCAGTCGGTAGCGGTGGGCGCAGGCCTTTGCTCGCCCTTTGTCCTGGACAGGATCAAACATTGAGACAGCACCAGCTCGCTCTGGAATCCTGGCCTGGCTGGCCGAATTAGGCCGTTGCTGTGAAGGTAGTTCCGCAGCTCTGCATCTGACCAGTTTCGCTCCTCGAGCCCGGCAGGGGAGGCAGCTTTAGATCTTCTGCACACTCGGAGGCCTGACGCCTCCCCGTTTGTTCAACCTTCCCTCGGATCCCAAGGACTTGCCTTCTTCTATTTCAATCCTGACTCCGTGCGGAAAACTTGTGCATCGAAAAATAAAAACTATCGGGCAGACGTTCGCCTCAAAACGCAGCAACGACAACTCGAAGCTGCTCGCCTGGTCTGGCGTGGGCACATCGCCGCAGAAGCCAGGATTCTTCTCAAGCAGCTCTGCGACGCGGCGGCTCACCTCAGCGCCCATCAGGGTGGCCCATATACCCTTGACAATCCTTTGATTCCTTGCTTGGGAGCCTTGACCTCCAAGTCCTCCTCCTCCTCAACGAGCTCAAGCTGAGCTCAGCGAGCCTTCACACCTTTGAATGCTTCGCTCGGCGTCCTCGGCTTCGCCCTCCGCAAGTGGCGCCTCGCAAAGCTGCGTAGAGCTAGGCGGGAACTAAAGGCCATCCAGATGTGGGCTAGATGGGATCGCAAATCGAGGGCCGTCTCAGACCCTTTCGGGGGCAATCTAGTTCTTGTGCTGGGAGGAAGTGTCTTGGGCACATTATCCTCATTACCCTGTGCACTTTCTGGCCATACAGCACCTGCCCCAGTCCGGCGTGCTCGGTCTGTGCATGCCGGCGACAATATCGCTGTAGACTTCTAGACACATCTGGACAGTGCGCTGGGGTTCACGAACCGTTTCGTTTTCTTAGTCCGAGCACCTTGCCAACCCAGATGGGAGACCAGACCGCCAATCCGCTTCCGGACGAGGACACGGTGCACTGCATAGCACACTTTTACGAAGCCTGACACACCAAGCCTGAAGCAAGGACTGTTCTAAGTGTTCCGGCTGTCTTTGGGCAGCGTCTCTGTCGCGACCGAGTCCCCTTGCAACAGGCATAGCCTGGATCGCCGGCAGACGAACCGCCCGAGCAGAAGGGTCTCATTAACACAAGGTTGCCGGCCCCAACACTGCTTCTCCGTGTCATACCAGCTTCCCCAAACCTCACGAAAGGCAGCTGGCGCATTGAAACTTGACAATGCTGAAGAGTACCTCTAGATGCGTGCCAAAGTGAACATTCTCGTCGTAGAGCGTGGAAGTGGCCTTCCGACCAAAAACGAAGCTCATCAAATCCCGTGGGCAGCCGAAGCCACCAAATCTGAGCGCTCAGCCAACTTGGCATCCTCTCCTATCGCAGGCGCCATGCCCAGGACCGAGAAACTTCCACGTCTTTTGCTGTCACTTCATGAAGCGTTGCGAGCGTCCATGTGTTTTTGCTCTACTGAAGTCTTCCGATTTCATGGGAGCCATGCTGCAAACTCGCTGGTCTCAGTTGCCAGAAGTTGTTGGAGCAGACAACCGGTCACCTTCCAAGCCACTCTTTCTCCCACAGCGCGAAATGCCCAACGCTGCTGCGTGCGGCGCATCTCGTCTCTCTTGCAATGTGCGACTGCACGATTAAGGCTCGTGCTCAACTGTGTGAGAGCTGCGAGACTTTTGCTTGTCAGCCCTGTGCAATGACTGTACAGTGGAGAACAAAGTAAACTGTGCACTAATTCATATTCAGAGGCACAAACGGCTCATCTGACACACCTCAGCCAGACAGCTTATCACGTCTGATCTACGGACAGCTACGGCATTTACAAGACCGATGCGAGCACTGCAGCTTGGGACTCAACACCAGATTGGCCTTCGCAGCTTGCCTGCTCGGCTTGCGTGAATTTTGCCACTGAAGACACCGAGACATACAACTAGCAATTGAAACCAAAGCCAGACGGCCAGACATATAATTCATCCGAGGTGCAGTGGGGGCGTCCCCACACTGTCAGACGATGGCGGCCGGCCTTGTTGCACTTGCCCTTGTGAAAGTTTCTTGACCCCCTCTTTTGAGCTTCGGCTTCGCCCCTCAGACCCTAGCTGTTGGGCGGATTCTCCAGCGGAGCCAAAGCCGGCCTTGCAGAAAAACAGCCGAGAAGGGAGCTCGCCCTGTGTTAGTTCCGTGGGATGCCGGGCCTTCGGTTTTGGGGCGTCGGTCGGCTGGCTAAACCGGAGTAAGACGGAGCTCGCCTGACAAGCTTAAGGTTCATCTTCCACACCTAAATCACGCACCAGCACTCCTCATGGGTGCTTGATGGCAATCGATGGCACCAACCTGGGCGGAAGGCCAGAATCGAGTACTGTTGCAGACTTGTGGTGACGTGCCGTGACTCGCCGCTCTCAGGCTTCGAAACAACCTAGTCGGCCAGCCAGCAGCTTTTCAGCATCCACAAACCACTTGTTCTATGTCTGGCTTCTGGGTGTGAGGAGCTTCAATTGGCAAGCAGAACCGGCAGGAGTATTCGAAGCCCGGTCCCGAACACGAGCATCGACAACTTCTCGTCGGTCGATTGTAACGGGAAATCGACCGAGCCTGGTAACCGTGGCAGTCCCGGCCCTCAAGCGAACAAGCTTCGAACACAAGCTTCCAACCGAGCGAGTACCGAGCAGTCTATTTCACTTCCCGGCTGGACTGTTGCTAGCACTTCCAGACTCCTTGGCGACACTGTGGGAAGGCTGGCAAGGCATCAGCAGGAAGCCGACAGCGCTGAAGTTCGGGGACGGCTCGTCTTTGCGCAGACCACAAGAATGCCCCCGGTAGGTCGCACAAGGGCAACATGGTAGCCGGAGATAACCCCGAACATGACAGGCAAAAGCCTGCCATGCTCTTCGGCCAAACACAGATGTTCGTTGCAAGCTCGCCGACTCTGAGGCACACTCTGATGGACTCCGCCCAACAGGCCGGGCCTCACACACAGCTGGCCACAGACCCCAGTCTGTTGAAACTGCGACCACATTCGCTTGATTCCATGGCATGCAGCCTTGTCCTGCCCCATCAGCTTGTCGAGCTGATCGTAGTTGGCCTCCAGCTCGACAGCGCAGAGAGGAACCATTGCAACCCAGGATTCGTCAGCTGGTGAACCTCGTGGCAGCGAACCACCCTTGGCTCCTTGTCAGAATGGCAGGTTGAGCTACAGCCATGTGGCAGCATTCAACTTGCGCAGTCCTCCGGAGGTCTTGGGGAGTCCCGAAGACGGAGCGCTACGCCGACGGCCCTCCTGTCTTCTAGTGTGTGGCACAGACTGGTCAACTTGCAGTCGGCCTTCTCCCATTCGGCAGCTTTTTCAGCTGCTCTACAGGAGCTGGAATGGGCACCTCGCCTGGCGGAGTCACAGACTCGGATAATCTGTAGGCCACACCGCCTGGGCCTCCCGGGGCATGTTCCTCGGAGGCTTTCTCGTGCCTGCAGCGGTAACATGCCCAGACTATGCTGCACTGTTGAAAGACCGGGCGCATGGCCGCGCTTCCTCACTCCCAGAGCTCTCACTAGATCCTGCCAAGATGTGAACCATGCAACCCTGATGCAATCTGGAGATTGTCCTCTCAGGCCATGGCCTTCTCTTCGTGGTCGCATCTTGCTCGCTTGCACTTCCTCCGTGTAGCCGGCCGTCACACGAAAAGAACGGAAAGAACCCTTGAAAGCGAAGATGGAGCCAAGGACGGTGCAGGCGAGAGCCACACGCCGGGCCGCAGGTCAATCATCACTCGGCCCAGAGCGTCTGCGTCGATCACGACGCAAGGGAGCCACTCCTTCGGCTACAAGTCTCCTAGCTTAGGAGCGGCAGTGGTGACGGTGCCGGACTTGAGGCCCCAGTGCCAAGCCGCAGACCCCATGAGTGACCGAGTAGTACTCCGCGAGGTCATCTTTCCTGGTTTCAACCAGGCCAACATCCATGCAAAATCTGACGGTCTTGCAACTCGTCACAGGACCTAGTGCTAGCGCTGACCTGTAGGTGCCCGCCACACCAGCAGCTGTCCCTTTGGCTGCACTGTCCTGCATACTGCGGTGTCATGCAGTCGAAGAGTCTACCCAAAGCAAGAGCCAAAGTACCTCTCGCTGGAGACTTCTCACCTGGCTCGGAGACTCGCTTCCACCCTGCACTTTGCTGCCAGACGACTGGGGCGAGGGCTTCCTCGAGCATCTGTCGCACGACCCGCTGAATTTCGGGAAGTTGTAGGACCTGCATGCCAGAACTTGCATCATCAAGTTCAGGACAGTAACCAGGCTCGGCGACTCGGAGATGTGTTGCGGTCAAGCCAGGTGAACGAAGAAAGGCAATTCCCCGGTTCCGAAGCAGTCAGGTCTTCGCTGCATTTTCAATCGGCCAATCGAGAACTCTGTCACCGTCAGGTCATTGAAAGCTTGACGAGCAGGTCAAACCTGCATGTCCACACAAGTCGGAAGTGACAGTTCCCAGCATGATGTGAGAACCCTTCAAGAAACAAATAAAAGGCCTGGGGTTTGAAGCTCTCTATAATCTTCGCAAAGGTCTGGAAGCGATTGTTGTTGGCCCATAAGAGGCCTCGACATAAACTCGCTGCTTCCGTCAGGGTTCCTTCTAAACACTACAGCTATGCAACACGGCAATTCCAGCGAGAGCCTGCCGCTCGTGTGGTGACGGTGCACAGCAAGTTGCTCGAGCCCTTCCGCACTAGCGCATGCAGAACATACCTGCAGCAGGGCAATGGCACTTATTAGCACTTTTGCTCACTCTTCCTGCAGACTGCACTCACTGTCCTTGAATTCGCCAAGGTGCTCATGAATGGTGTCGCCAACGAATTCAAACCGATATCCTTCCACACCTTCAAATTTTTCCACCTTTGCTGCACGGCGAGCCTTCAACAGATCGCACACTTGCACGCCCTCAGCTTGAACTGAGATGCGCCCATAAAGTCTGCCCCGCCCAGAGGGCGTTTGTCTGACAGCCTCAGCAGAGTTGCGTCATTCCTATGGTGCCTCGGACCGTGCACAATTGCAACAGTTGCCTGCCTGCCATCTACCAAGCAGCTTTTCGCCAATATCCTTTATGTCCAAGCCCGCCATTCCCAGAGCTTTGTCAAGGGTATCACTATCGACCTCCTTCACTTCTGCAGACATCGTGTTGTATTGGCCTGTCCTGGTGACAGAGTTAGATCCGAAAGTTAGATGACAACCGTGGGACACGGAGCGACACTGTAACGTGCACTATTGCTCTTCCCGCCTATCACCTTGCCAAGTGATTTTAGTCGAAGTTTCTTGGATAACCTGAGCCGTGCTTCCCCTTCATGCGCTTTATGCCTTGAGCAACCCTCCAGGTAGCCAGGTCTGGTCAGATAAGCTGCCAACCTTATAATTGTCTGGCATAGACACCTCGGTGACATCACAAACTATAGCAAGTCATTCCAGCGACCTAAAACTCTTTGCAGCCAGAGCTCCTGAAAAGCACCTCCGACCGTGTAATCCACAAGGCCGCCAGAAGTGAAAGATGCCAGCGGCAAGCCAGCATGTGCTGCCCCCGGCAGGCTGAGGCTCACCAGCTTAGATAAAGCAGAGAGCAAGCACTCGTGGCAGAGTTCGTCACGGGACATCGACCTATCTTGCTGCGTGCACGCAACCAATGCAGCTGCCGCAGAGCGCCGCTGCACTTGCACAAACGTCCAGCCTTAAACATGCTGCAGTCTCGCGATACAAGCATGCATAACAAAAGCCGCAAGACGTGTCGCAGCAACATCACGGAAAAACTTACTAGCCCGAAGTCCATCCATTGGCGCTGTCGTTTGCGCCGTGTGTCGTTTTCTGACACACATGGCGTGTGCAAGAGAGTTGACGGCAACAAGCACAAAGAGAGCGAGACAAAACCCGTGAGTGCCGGCTTGACTCTTCTCGGATTCGCACGAGGGTTTTGCACCGTTGGTCCTGCCAGCACTGAAGCCGCTGCAGCGACGGAAGTTCTTTGAGAGTGCGACGGGAAATCGTCTTCCTACAGTGGTCCTGTCATGCCCTGTAGGACGAGCGCCGTCCCCAAGACCAAACACAGCCAGGACGTCTCCTGCTAAAGAGCTCGTTGGGCCAATGAAGTGATGCTGAATCACTGTCTCCATGAAGTGTCGTCTGCTGACTCCCGCTATGCAACACAGAGCTCCTTCCGCAGACGGAAGCGTGGAAACCGCAACATCTTGGGCTGTGGCATAATCTTAGTCGCCTACAGACTAGACTGGCCAAGTCCACAACTGAAGATGCAAAGGGAAGGTCGTGTCGTGTTGTTCTGTAATGCGCTGTTTTTCCCAGCTCTACCTGTCCATGTTGCAAACAGCTGAGGCGGCGTTGGGTCCTTTCATGTAATTCCCAAAACCCTCCCCAAAAAGAACAGGGCAAGCCGTGGTCGATTGGCAGAACTGCACCTCGTCTGCGGACGGTCTCTTCTTCGGCTCACGGTCCAGAAGTTGTCTGCACAGCCTCCAGGTGGCGAAACATGGATTTTGTCTATGTGGCTGAGGATTGCACGAGTCGTCGGCCGGCGAAGGAAGTCAGAGTAGCAGTCCGGAACCTGAACACAGAACCCCAAGCTGCGAGGTCGCTCTCCGCACTCGAGACTGGGACACAAGGCGACGACCACGGGCAACGGGCCGTAGCAGATTTTCTGCACAAGGCCCGAAAGGCTGTGGGCGTCGAAAGGCACCTGCCTGGGTCAATCAAGCTTCATGTCAGGGCTATCTGCACACCTGGTTCATCCCGATTGAAATCTAGGAGGCGCCGTAGTTGGTGACTTTAACATCTTCACTAGCCTAGATCTAAATCCTGTGCAGGGCAGGCTCTCATGGATGCCCCCACATGCCGTTCCTCCAGATCCGTCTATACTATGGACACCTCTCCATGAAGCCGCTCAAGCAGGCACAAGTCACAAGTCTCAGGTCCATGACTGTTTCACTGTGATACCGTAGCAACGCACCAACCCCGGAGCCAACTGTGCAAATTGCACAAGAAGTAGCTACCAGGACGAGAGCAGATGAGGCCCCGACAGGGCACACATCTCGTACAGTATGCAGCCTGCCAAAGTCCGCGAGAGTGCATCCTCCTGGACTTCCCACGATCACCTTCGCTCTGGTTTTTGTTACATTCTCAGCTCCTGGCCCATTGACCACATGTCCGATGACCAGTTGTACGGCTTCTCCTGCAGAGGTAGACATACCAGGCAGAGCAAAACCCATCGCATGCAACGCTGCCTGGCATACTTCTGGACTCAAGTAATATGGGGTGCCTGTGTGAGAGTGACGCAACATTACCCTCCACACGGAAAGACAAACCAAAAGCTGAGCACCCAGCCAATCCTGGTCTTTGCACATGCCAGAGTGCAAGCCTGCCCAGAGGCAACTTGAACAGGGGACAACGCTTGCTGACGAAGTTCGAATTCAGCCACCGACCATCGTTTTGGCTATTCCAAAGTCTCCCATCTTCAAAGACCTTCGTGGAGTGAAATACTCAATGGCCAACGAAAACGACGATTGTCCTAGGCGAAATGCATCGACCCGTTTCCAAATAACGCAACTGTTGTCTAAAGATCACCTCTCACGGAATCGTCCGTCACTCAAGGTGCTTGCCCGTTCTTTGTGAGGAAGAAGTTGGCAGGCTTTAAATCCTGCGGTATCGGCTTAGGCTTGCACACTCAAGTCTGCCGCTGTATACAAACTGCACAATAACTGACAATAACGCAGATTTCGCCCAGGGGCGGACCCTGTGAAGGATGTGCTTGTCATGGATGAACTTTACGGCAAGCGTGGCCTGCCAGCCAAGGACAGAAAACTGCTGTAAAACTCTTTCGTGTCTAATGGGCCTGAGTGAACCACCGAAGGATCTGCTCCTCCGGAATCCTGAACACTCTGACGCTTTTCGGCGACAACGACAGCAGCACAGCAAGAACTGAAACGACTGCTTGGCATAGCTCATTCTGCGATAGGATAGCAAGCGATACCAGTCATCGAGGCAGCTGAGCACTTGAAGTGCTTTTTTTGCAAGCATCGAAACGGAAAATCGACCATGTGCCGCATCAACAGACCCGTGCGGGGCACTGTCAGACACTGGCGTTTGGCTGCGACTCAGACATCTCGAAAAAACGACGAAGTTGAGAGACTTTGGCCTGCTCGAGGCAATTTGAAATCTGAAGGGACGAAGGCACTGACTGACGGCTAGAGACGCATGTTGGGCAAGAGAAACATGCAGGCGGTAAACCCGAAACAGTAAGTGGATCTGGAACCGTGGAAAGCGAGCTGCAGTCCCGAAAGAAACATAGCCTTCCGGATTCCATACGTTAAATAGGAAGGTGTTGACAAACCCTGCAGCCAAAAACGAGCAGTACTGACTCGGAGAGCAAACTAAACTCCGGAAAGAAACCATACTTTGCATGCCCTGACCAAACAAACTACAAACTTCCTAAAACAACTCATTCAAGTGGCTGGTGAACTTCGAAATCCTGTAGGCCCAAGTTCAAAAGCGACGGTAACACACGACTAAAGCGCTGGCGAAGAGTGAACCATGAAAAAACAAAACAGGACACTGCTGTGCTGATCCTTAAATGGCGCTGGCTTACACCAAGGATCCAAAAAGATTGACTGTCAATGAAGCCTTGTTTTGCAAGGCACCAGCAAACCATAAACCCTGCAATGAAAGATTGGCAGCTACCGGGGCTGCAAAATATTTAAACACAAGCACAACAATGGAAAGGCAAGCAGAAATTGTTAATGCCTTTGCGAACCATGACAGCAATTCGACACCCGGCACCTACAACCCGTAAACCCTCAAGACAACGGTGTAATAAATCTTGACATAGCACGCTGCTTGCAAAACCTGAACTGGACAGAGCAGTGTAGAGAACCTGGCAACCTATGTTATACCAAAAGACGCCTGATGGAACTCACAAACCGCGAAAGACGAAGGATCCTTCGTTAATTTACTGGAACCTGAGCTACCTTGTACTGAGTTCACTTCACACTTTCGAAAAGCAATTCATGCCGAAGCAGATAATAAGGCCTTACAGACCCTAAACACAAAAATTGAATATGACAGCAGCGATTTCTCAATCCTAAAGCCCATGCAAAGCTGGTGGACAAATCACAAACCAACAGTGTCCCGCGAACCACTCCCGGACAAGATACTGCCAGGAAAATTCGTATGAACAAAAACCTTTTGATGGCCCAAGACCGATGAAAAGCAGCGCTTAAAACATAAGCTCAAGCCTCAAAGTGACCGGTGATCCGTGGGCGTGAATCGTGCAAACAGACCAGCCCTCAAACGACGGCAACTAGCATACCCGCAAAAAATGCATATTGGACCACCAACCTCAAACCCTAAAGTGTCAGGGAACCCTTAACAGCAAAGTGCAAACAGTTCACATAATCGGCAAAAACAAAGCCGTGATGCTGTTGCCGATCCCGAACCCATGCATCAAACCACAGCAATAGTAGATATCAAACCACCGTGCCGTACCGACAAAACAAAGGCACACGCAGACACCACCCTGACAACATGAATCGAATCGCGAGCAGCAAACCTCAAACCCTCATGCAGTTGGATGGCCATACTTCTTGCAGTCCATGTGCCCCACAAACGGCTTTGGGAACTGGCATACCCTAAACCCTACCCTAAACCCTAAAACGAAAATTGGCAGCAGACCAACAAACCCCAAACAATTGCCAAACTTGACTGCTCGAGGTTAAAGTCATAAAGCAGCAGCGATAGCAAAGCAGACACATGCACCCAATAGAGAAGCCATCCGGACCCCACGACTGACCCATGGCAACGCTACGTTTCAAACTCTGATTGCCAGGCAAAGCTGGAAACTAAAAGCTACTCGTACTTTGAATAGCACGTCTTACCAGTAACACTCCACACACAACTAAACGGCAGATGACCCAAGCCCTAAAACGAACCACTGGCAGCAAACCTTAAGCCCTAAGATTACCTTGCGAATCGCACAGCAGCCTGACCACACGACCCTGGCTTCATGAGGCCTAGCCAGCAGCAAGCACAGAAACGCAGATTGGACCGGACCGTGAACCTTACACCCTGAAATGCCTGTGAACCCTCACTGCAAGTTGAAAAGGGTACAAATGCATATGGAAAGGGATTTGTACGCAACCCGCAAGATCCCACAGAGCAACAGTAGTCATCAAACCACATTTCCGAGAAGAATATGCTTACAGAAACACTACACCCTAAAATTCAAAATGCGTCATTCAGAAACGGCAACCCTGAAACCCCCTGAAACCACGACCCCAACAAATTGCTTTTGGTAATGGAATACCCTAAACCCTACAAGAACATTGGCAGCACACCAACAAAACCCCCAACAGTTGCCAAACTTGTATACTCGAGCTTAAGTTCATAAGCAGCTGCGATGGCAAAGCAGACACATGCACGCAATGGAGCCTTGCAAACCTCCAACCGACTAATGGCCAATGGCAGCAGTATGCAAGCTTTGAACTCTTAGACTCTAATGCAGCAGATCTGGAAAATGAACACACACACACACACACGCAATGCGAAACTACACAAAACAAACACACATAAACTCCAAACTCTACAACGAGCTATGGAAAACAAGCCTTAGGCCCTAAAATGGCTAGTGATCCGTAGCCGTAGACCTTGCAAGCAGCTATCGATAGCACAGCAACCCGACCACACGAACCCACCCTTGGACCGCGAACCTTAAATTTTAGTCTTTCGGGGAACCCTGAACTGCAAAGGTAACAGTGCGCACGAGAACGAACCATGCTCAAGGAAGCGATGAAGCCATTTGCCTATCCCCAACCCACGGATGAAACCGCAGAAGCAACGGTAGATATCGAACTACAATGCCGCAAAGAAGACGAACACGCAGACACCGCTCCCAACACGAATCATGCGAAAAAACCCTGAAACCCTGAAGTGAATCGCGCACAGCACACCTTAAACCTTCAGGCAATTAGTTGGATGGGTAGCGAACCATGTTTCTTGCAGGCCATGTGCCAAGAAACGGTTGCTCGAACTGGCGAGCCCTGAACCCTAGAAGAAAAGCTTGGCAGTAGACTGCGAAAGCCTGACAAAATCGGTTAACTTTTGAATTCGATCTTAAAGGCGCGCAGCTGCGGATGGCCTAAACTCTAAGACTCCAAAACGATGACTGCACAGCAAAGATGGAAACGAAAAATATTTTGAATTATGAGAAACAAAAACTTCGTCACAGGCCCAAAACCATACCAAACGCAAGGATGGATAAACCGCAAACCCGATAATGAGGGACGGGCAGCAAACTTCAAGCCTTCAACTGACCGGTGATCCGTGGCCGTAAACTTTGCAAACAAACCACATGGACCCGAAGCCTCAGCGGCAACTGACGGCAACTAACATCTTTAAAATGCATATTGGACCACCAACCTCAAACCCTAAAATGTCAGGGAACCCTGAACGGCAAAGTGACAACAGTTCACGTAAGAAGCAAACCGTGCTCAACAATGCATCAAACCATAGCAACAATAGATATCGAACCACCTTACCGACAAGACAAAGGCACACGCAGACACCACACACCAAAACGAAACATGGACAAAACAGCCCTGACAAAATGAATCGAATCGTGAGCAGCAGACCTCAAATGCTCAGGCAGTTGGATGAACAGCGAACCATACTTCTTGCAGTCCATGTGCCCCACAAACGGCTTTGGGAACTGGCATACCCTAAACCCTAAAACGAAAGTTGGCAGCAGACCAACAAAACCCCAAACAGTTGCCAAACTTGAATGGTCGAGGTTAAAGTCATAAAGCAGCGGCGATGGCAAGGCAGACACATGCACGCAATGGAGCCGGCAAACCATCCGGAACCCGCCACTGACTTATGACAGCGCTACGTTTCAAACTCTGATTGCTAAGCAATGCTGGAAACTAAACGCTAATCGTACTCTGAATAACACGTCTTACCAGTAAAACTCCAAACAAAACTCGACGGCAGATAAACCCCGAACCCGAACGGCAAAACGAACAACAGGCAGCAAACCTTAAGCCCTAAAAATACCTTGCGGATCGCACAGCAGCCTGATCCCATGGAGCAT